GAATCGAAAAATCGAACGATTGCAATGTTTCCGTTCGGAAGCAAACAAGAGGAAAAATTATTGAAGGGCGTTAAAGAACGATATTGTTCAAAAGGGATCTACCAAGTTTACAAAAGAATAATAAAAATTACGCAGCTTACCATTGCTCTCCAGAAGATTGAGTGACAGCTAGATGCAATAGTAAGCTACGTATTTTTCATTATTTTTTAGCAAACTTGGTAAATCCCTTTTAGATAATATCGATCTTTAGCGCCCTTCAATAATTTTCCCTCTTTTTTTTCATTATTTTTTCATGTCCACTCAAGTGCTTCCCGCAACAAAAAAACCGATCCCAAATTTTAATGTATTTTAGGTAAAGATTAAATTTAAATTAAAGTCGACGTTCGATAGATAGTCTTTGAGTTAAAAATTCCATAATTGTGAAAACGTTATTGGTCTAATAATGGAAGGAAGAGAAAATTCTATAGGAAAGGGAAAAGACAGTCTGAAACCATTTGCATTCATTCCCCTCTCCTCCTGATTAATTCCGCATTATATTCTCCTCGGAGACAGATTGTCGCCTCCAATTTTCTATTCAAATATTTTTTGTTGCAGAGATGAGCGTAATGATAGATCACAAGACCTGGAAACAAAACCTGAAAATAAAATGGATAACTGTTTTTATCCCATCACCCCCCCGACGGGGGCATCGTAGTTCGAAAAGAAAAATTTGAAAACAACACGTACGCGGAATATCACGTGCCACGTAACAAATGGCAAAAGAAACTTTCGATGGAACTGCTGCGACAAGTGCATCGGGAATAGCTTTGTTAATTGTGGGCATTACGATTTTACTATTTTCATGATGGACTGGGACTTTCTGATTTATTATTCTTTGTTGCCGACAGCCCCATGTCGCCGAGGTTCGTCTACATAAAAAATTGAGAATTGAAAGAGCAGACAGTTCAACATTTTCGTCTCCTCTCCAGGTATGACCAGCACGTATGACCAGGTATGAATAGAATTTAGAGAGTACCAAGAAACAATGAGAAAAGTTTGCCAAAAAAGAACAAGCAAAAAAAACTTTTAATATCACAGAGATCACGGGGCACGATTGCGAGGAAGGTGATATAAATGACTCAAATATTCCTCGTTGTAACTGAAGAAGAAACTTTCGCTTCTTCTTTATGCACCGCGGATAAACCGAATCACGCGAATCGTCTCTGAGAGCTCTTTTTTTCGTGCTTTTTTATCGCGGATTAAAACTTTTTATGTGTGAACACAACAACTGTAGGTATGATAAATATTACTAGCCCTTTGTAGAAGGTCAAGCGAGGGGAATGATCGCAAATCTATGGTCCGGTGTTATACTGAAAGAAAACTTCGAAATGAAATTAAAGGAAAAAAATTCTGGTGGCACGCAATGCTATAGGATGTAATGCAATGCACTGTACGAGTGTATCGTATTAACTTTCATGGGTTTGCGCTTTAATAAGAGATGTGTGCACAGGAGGGTCATGTTCTTGTGGAAGGTATACTCTAAGTGCTGGACTCTCTGATTTTACTAGGGTGGACACATGGTGTCCACCGATAAGCCTGTCAGTAAGCTATGGTATGTGAAGGGATGATAAACCATTGTGACCACAGTTACGGTAAGTCTTTAGAAAACTTCTATATTTATTTTCTCATTCCTAAAAGACGAGTATATTACGACCGTTGATGAAATTAAGAATGTGCGCTGCTCTTTTGTAAAATTTCACGTTTTCTTTCGTTTTCCTGGCGAATTATCGACGGAATTATTTTTTTTTTATATTCCGGTCCTTTCTGGTCCTGTTCTGGCTTTGACGGGTTTAAATGGACTGCTACGGATTAAAATTTTTTTTTATCAAGGGCTTTATAATTTTTTAAATTGTAGTTATCGTTCTGTCGACTCGAATAACTTCCAGATGTTCGTATGAAAAATTGTATCATTTAATTGGAATCATGAATGAATACTTGCCATTCCTACAATGAATTTTGAGTTTAATAATTAATTAATAGTTAATTAATTGAACAAGACCTGACAAATCCGTTGATATTATACCACAATTGTTTACCTTCACACGTAAACAATTTTATAATGTATCATGCTCAAGGAATTGAAATAAAAAATGAATGGTCTGCAGTGGAATTTAATGAAATGGAATATTTTTATTGACCTTCATCTTCAAATATGCAATTTCATAATTAAAATACATCCTCACCCCCTTCATCAAATCATCAGAAGAAATTGATAAAACGATTCGATCAATACGTAATTTACATGACTGATTTAATTCAGCAGTTAAACGAGCAATTTTAGCAAAATAAAAAATAATGAGAGGTCTCTTCTTCGTACTTTAAGTAATCTGTCCTAAAAAAATCCTCAAATACTTGCTTCTCAATCCACTCTTCACGTAAATAATAGATCTATCATCGATATAAAAGTGTATCAAACACAAAAATCATTATTGATAATCAATCATCTTGGTATTGCTAAAGTACTTTGAGAGATATTCGTCTGTTCTTTCAAGGAACAAAATTTTCCCAAAATTAGAAAAAATCCTCTCGATATTTTTAATATACATATACTCGATTCGTTTTACCACATTTAAACCCAGCTAAAGACAACAAAAATCCAAAAAGGAGTCCTCTTAATTCTGTTGTGCCGGTGGCTTCGACCAATCGACATTCAAAATTAAGTGATCGTACCCATACCCATTGAGATGGTTAATAGCTCTGGCAGCCTCTGCTCGAAATTTGAAGTGAACGTAAGCAAAACCTTTGCACAGATTGGTATTTCGATCCTTAGCTAGATACTGCTTCTGTATAACACCGAATGGCTTGACCAGTTCTTCAAGATCAGCTTCATTAGTGCTCTCAGATAAATTAGAGATGCGAATGGCAGTGGTATCATCGCGTCGCTGCATCTGCATGGAGTCTCCACGCCTGTTGCCACCATCTCTCATGCTCGGTGGTACATATTTTCCCTTTTGAGCTTCACCACCTGCTGGTGGTGCAGGTTCAGGTGCTCCAGGACGTGAAGGTGGTTTTTTGTCATCTGGAACTTTGCCGCCAGCAAGAACAGTATCTTTGTATGGACATTTCGAGGTCCAATGGTCACCATTGCAATTACGACACTTGACTATTCCCTTGTCACCCATGCTCTTCAATTTGTCAAGGGATTCATCCTCTGTCTTGTTCTCTTCCTCTTTGCTGGAGATAAACTGCATGAAAACATCCTCAGCACCGATGGTTGTCGCGGGGTTGGGGCCTGGCCTGTCATCAGCTGAATCTCCAAATTTCGCCCAGTTCTTTCTCACTGCAATCGTCTTTGAGACTATTCGCTTCTCGATCTTGTACGTACGGACAACCTTGACTTTTTTGTTATCATCGTTGTACTTGAACTCTGTGAGAACTTTGAAACCGTTTTCATAGACCTCTGTTGAAGCGGGCAACACTCCACCGTCTTCTTCGACCTCGTCTGCCCATGAGGACTTTACTTCATATGCTAGTGGCATTTCTGCAAAACAAAACATGAAAACAAGAGTAATTATGGGACCTATTTTCAAAAGAACCGTTCGCAAATCACTTTTAAGGAATTATTTAGGGGAGAAGAAAAAAATGTGCGATTGAAGAGAAATGGCACATTCTTTGAGAATGTTGTGAAATCAAAAATGTAAGAAAACAACAATATAATTAACAGAAAACATAATAACATTTGGAAAAAACACTGGGACTCTTTTAGACTGTCTCCAACATTTTCTGGAGCAAAAATTTCCAAACAAATTTTTTTGGGAACAAAAAAATGATTGGGAATCAGTCAAAAACGCTTTTCCGCATTTTGCTCGGCTCTCCCCATTGCTATTCATAGAAGTACACTTCAATTATTTCTGTAAATGAAAGTACCAAGAAGTACAATACATATACACTTGTAAAATGAGATAATGACATTATTTTTAACAATTAAATCGGGAAAAGGTGACAAGTGATTGAGACTTTCCTCTTCGGTAAATTTCTTAAGAGTATCTCTAAAACTAACAGACATTGCGAAATTTTTTTAATCACCTTTTTTGAAAAACTCAATTAGCTCTACCGGTTATATAAATATTTTTCCGAATTAGACTTCAAGATTATCACTGAAAATTTGTCAACACCCAAAATGGACTTGAACTGTTTTATCACTGAGGAGTAGTTTGAAAAATTGTTTTGTCATTTTTTGTATTGCTCGTTTTTCAAAGACCAGTAGTCTCAGACTCAATATAAATCTCGAATTACTAATTGTGGCCTTTTATTTTACATTTTATATTCAAAATAATAATGTAAAAGGCATTATCACCACACCTTTTCCGAAAAAAGACTCCAGAAATTATCTAAAAATTGTCTCTAAACATAATTCATTAGAGTCATTAACCAATCAGTTCGAACGTAACATGGAATCTTAATTCTTCCCAAGTTATCAAAATGATCCATTGAAACACAAAATATTTAAATTTGAAAATAATACTCAAAAAAGGTTTAGACACTATTTCGAAGGATGCAAAGGCTATCGACGTCACGACACCACAACCTAAAATATTTTGAGGTTAGACCTACTCCAAAACCGAACTACACCCACTAATTCCAAAAAACCCTATAGAATAATAAAACACTAATTAAAATTCCAAGTAATACTTGCAATAAAAATTAATTCCCACGAATTACAGAAATACTTGAAAACTGAGAATGATTCCGTAGTAAAACGTAACCAATACTTCGGTTTTCTCCACAGAAGACCTGACACGTCAGAAATTTATTGAAAGGTGTGAAGAAAATGAAAAACTCACTTAATTGATGTTAAAATTTTTTCACAGCTCCAATCGCTGGGATTAAATCTTCAAAAACCGATAAATATGTCAAGCTTTTTGCACATGGGCTCACAGTCACACGAAAATGGACGCCGACAATTTCCCCAGATGACCTCCAGTCTTTTGGCCGACCAATAGGAAACAGACTTGCCCTTCTTCCGTAATTTTAGTCTAACGAAAACACGATTAGTAACAATCTGGTCGAAAATTCGTATTTAGTTTCCAGATTATCCCAGACACCATCAAATTATCATAATTAGTTGAGAGTTATGATTATTAAACAGTGGGATCAATAATTGTTGACAATTCATTGATTATCAGTGAAGTGTAGCCCAGTCTACTGAGGCCTTCACATAAACATAACCTACCACCTATTGTCAGTTCAACGGTAAATAATTTTTTATTATTTACGTCGTCAATCGGTCAACTTTACTAAGCTGTCGTTTTTAATATGGAAAATTTGATCTAAATGAATTGAAACAATGATGCACATGATAAGAATTTTTTTGAAGTCGATTTGCAATAGGAATTCACGCCCTGAATTATTAGTAATAAGTTATAACAATTTTTGGTGTGTAGAAGATGGTGATAATAAATAACAACAGAAATCCTCTTTTTTTCTAGTAATGATAAGCGATTGTAAAATTTGATTATTGTCAGTTTGAATTTGTTTAAACAAATACGAAAGTCTTTTCGATTGAATGGAATTTCCATTTTTCTCCGAATTTTTTATTACTCCCAGGTGATATTAATTGTTTTTATATTGTTTGAACAATTTATTTTGGATTGATCTCAACAGTTACTTATTTTCAATAATTCCATGTAATACGAAAAGTTTTAAACTTTTATAGCGAAAGACGAAAAAAGACTGAACACTATAAATTTTTGGGGGATTCATCACTTTGATTACGAAAATCTAATTTAAAAGAAACCATACGTTTTTCACTTGAATTTGAATTTTTTTCGAAGAGTACAGATTTTGATCGAAAAACAAGCAAAAAATGACTGCAATGCTTTTTAAAATCTGTGAAAACTGAACGAAATTTTGGATGAATAGTAAAAAGAGACGAAATGATGATCCCCTTCCTTTTCTATTTTGTAATGAATATTCTTGAGCAGTTGTATGAAAACCCCATTTATAATTCAATCTTCACCTGCAAAGGAGATTGTCACAAAAATTTTATTTCTTTGAGACTGTTTTAATTACGAGAAATTCTCTTTGAAAAAATATCTAATATCTAATCATTAGATGAATCCATTCAGCATCATATGCAAAATAATTTATCATAAGGGTAGATACTTGAAAATCCGATAAGGATCATTCTAAAATGAATGGATTGGTGCAATACGATTTTTCAAATCTAAATTCTCTCAAAGAAATGTGTGTATGGCAAATATGAATGTGTTCTCAGTGTACAGATTCATTTCTTCATCAAAAGACAATCCACACTTTAACGTAATGGTCTTGAATTTTTATCAGATACAGATGGCCTCGGCAGCAATATCCCCCACAGAGGATGACGACCTCACCCTACCACGTGCCTCTCTCAACAAAATGATCAAAGAGATCCTTCCCCACGTTCGAGTAGCCCACGAATCTCGTGAGTTGATTCTCAACTGCTGCACCGAGTTCATCCACTTGATTTCATCTGAAGCAAACGAAATATGCAATCAGCAGCAGAAAAAAACAATAAATGCTGAGCACGTGCTGCAGGCACTGGAGAAATTGGGATTTGGGGATTACAGTGCTGAAGCCGAAATTGTCCTGAGGGATTGTAAAGCAGTGGCTGCCAAAAGACGACGACAGAGTACTCGTTTGGAGAATCTTGGGATACCTGAAGAGGAATTATTGAGACAACAGCAGGAGTTGTTTGCTAAAGCGAGGGAAGAACAGGCTGTGGCTGAACAACAGCAGTGGCAGCAGCTGCAAGCTGTTGCTCAAATGGCTTCGATGCAGCAGGCTGACAGTGAACAGGAAGATTATTCATAGAACTGAGAAAATTTCTCCATTTTTTGAAGGCCTCCAGGCATCTACGTGATAATTGCGATTAGTAATTCGTCATTACTGAGTTTTTTTTTATGCAAAAAAGTTTCACTGGCAATGATAAATTACATTGGAAATAATCCAAAAACAAATGGCAAGAGATTTTTCATAGATGAATGAATTTATTAAAAATATCCCTGACATTTTCTACAGAATTCAATTGATATTCATTCCCATTTATTATAAATTCTATTGATCATTTTGTTAATAATGAGCGATGTTTGTATTAAATGTCAAGGAATTTTTCGAATATCGATATTCATAATGTGAAGTAATCATTTCATTTCAGCATTCAATCATGATAAACACTAATTTCCATTCTTCAATTAATTTCTGTCTTAGTAATGACAATCAATTCGTAAAAAAAAAAAATTTTTCTTCAGTTCATTTCCGATTGATTTTAGTTTATATTTTTATAAATTGGAGTTACGTATAATTATTTGTGAATGTACCTGTTTCTTTTTTTCTCTCTCTGATTTGATGAGGAAAGCTAAGGCATCAGTCTACCGTATTCCGAGGACAGGTGGCTCTTCTTCAAGGCTTCAATTACTTTTGATACATAGTGATACCTAAGAATGGAATTGATTCATAGTTTAATGGATGGAACGGAGTGTCAATAAACTTGATATTATTACATACATACTACATTTTTCTTCTATTTACCAGTTTTTCTCGGTTAAAGTTGCTGGGGTCATGGGATGACGAGATACTCCGTGAATTTTAATTCTCAATCTCTCGATCAGGTCGTTGTAGCTCTCGTGGAATTTTGGAGTTTCTTGAATGTTCAAAGTTTGAATTATGAATTAATCGTGAATTAATATTTCTCACAATATCGCTCATAAATCCTTCATCTTCATAAGTTCGTCGGCAAAAATTGGAGTTGTATTTTGCATTGTATTCTTAACAATAATCTACGCATCAATTTGAATATTACAATTGTTTCTAATGTATACCTTCAGATTTGATTGAAGGGATTAAGAATAGATTCAGTTGTCCTCCCGTGGAAGAGATGCTCATGTCAAGTCCACTATGAATCTGAAGTCTGGAGCTTGCGAATACTTTGTTATAGAAATTCTACAAAAAAAACAACAATTATCACTGTTAATCATTTAACAAAACGGACTATTTTACAAATAAAAAAGAGTTGTGAAATAAGCAGAACGAAAAAAGAATCAGTTCGAAAGGAAACTGCTAATTTATTAGCAACAATAAATCCCCCAATCCATCCCACCATCACAAAGAGATCCATGTGCGTTACGCGCTCTTTTTCTTTTGCTCTTGATATAATTTCGCACTTTTTTGATATTTATATTCAATTTTTCTGTATTTCCCAAGTATTTTCGATTTGTCAATGTGAGGTCACACTAAACAATTTACGTTTATTGCTAATTATCATTGCATGCGATATAATTTATGGGGATAAATTGTGAATTATTTTAAAGCTTCGAACGAGCTCTTTAAAATGTCGTTTAAACTCTTTAATTGCATCGATTTGGTCCAGAGATATCGATGATAACATGTCGAAATTCACGTGGCACGTTTTAGAATATAGTTATTCCGTCTAAATAAAATTCATAATAATCTTTGTTACCCATGCATTTCATTTTCACGGAAAAATTCAACAAACAAGCTAAAAACAAGTGCTTGAATAATTTAATTTGAATTTTTATATTCATTGAATTGCTCACATCTAGTCTAAAACAGCAAAGAGGAAATTAACACTAAATCAATTAGATGCAATTACATGCAAAGTAGTTAGCCCAAGGTACGCGCTCGATTTATCTATTGAAAACAGAATTTTATACAACATTTTATATGCAAACGTTTTGTAATTACCTTCATCGTTTCAATTGTACTAGGCAGAAAGTCATGTATTTCTGCTTTATTTTGCAGAAATAAAATATGTGGATAATATTCAACATAATCCTGAACCAGATTGGAAGTTGACGGCAGCTTCAGCATCTCGGCAGTTTGTAAGAATCTATTAAATTAAAATCTTCTCAATCTATGATTAATTAATAACAATTATAGGAAACGGAGAGGTTTTACCTGACTAAATTTGGATCCACGAACCAATCTTGCACAAAAATGATGACATGGCATATAGAGTATAAAAATGCCATAAATTGGAGGGATTGAAGTTCCCGGTTCTGCTCCGTATTGACAAAGTCGGCGGAATTTTTTTTCTGCTCGAAAGAAGATACACTTGCGTCCATAACAGAGCAAGAGAGGATCGGCTGTGTGTCTAAATAGATAACTCGATTTCTTGTGACGTAAAAATCAATTCCAGACGTGCAGTTGGAGCCGCTCTCATGATGAGACTGTTTTTGGGCTGCGAAGATGTTGGATCTGCAAGAGAATATGATAATTCCATCAGTCTACATAAGCATTATACGACAAATAGAATACTAACCCATAATTGGACGTTAGCAAAGACAAAATTGTTGATTTGCCAACGCCTTGGGTCCCTGCGACACCCACAACCAGAAAGTCTTGTTGATCGTGTAAATAATCTAGCACATTCTCACACAGTTGCATATTTTCGTCAATGAATTTCAGGCATCCCGTCATTTCGTTGGGAGAATGCAATAATATTCTGGCTGAAGAGGGAATAAAATTAATAAAATTCAATCAAATAACATCAGGACTTTCTCTCAAGCCTCATTCAATCTGAAGCTTCCCGAATGTTTTTTCAATAATATCATTATTTAAGGTTTAAAAATCATTCTTCATTATTAATTATTACAAATTTTAATTGCAAGGAAATCATCAAGTCTCCTTCGGCTGAAAAATTTATGGAATGATTGGGAAATTACAATTCATCTATCATTTATAACCTTTTTATCATCTATTATTTATAATAATTAAATTCGTTATTTTGATTGCCTAAAATTTGAGAATCTATGGTATGATAAAGAATAATAAGGATTCTTACGCTCTGGAGCTTTGACACTTGCTTGCACCGTCTCGCCATCTTTTTTACTGGAAAAATAGATGTGAATAATTTAAAGAGAGTTAAAGAGTCAGCACCAATATCTTCTCATCTTAGAAGTCTTTCCTCAATCTCTGAGAACCGGAATCAGAACCCGAGAATAAAATTGCCGTGAAAAAATATATCGATTTTATATTTTAATATTATTCAACGCCTCACGAGGTTTCATCACAGTGGGAAAATTTCCCTATCCTCTCAAAAAACTTTTGCATCAATTCCTAGAGCATTACCAAAAATTTAGAACAATAGACACACGACTATGAATAATAAATTGAATAATGAATGGAATAAAGATAAATGCCAAAAACGGTACATTTTTTCACATGGATCTGACCTGGGGCTTCCCAGAGATGGATAAAAAATAGAAAAGAGAAGATATCGGTAAAAACCCAAGTATTCAAATTAATTTTCGTACAGGAAATATCATCAATCAAAATTAAATCTCTACCTGCTCCCATTCTTCTGACTGGGTGACACAGCTCTGCTCTCACCCTCTCTCGTTTTCAAAATAAAGGTAGGACGATCGACCACTTTAATTTGCCCTCTCCCATCATTTTCCTTCTGATCTTGATCCTTAGGGGTAATTCCACCTGCTTTCTTAGATGCCATTTTACTCATTAATTATTATATCATTCGGACTCATAATAATGGATATAGCACCAAGCAATGAGTTACCAATTCTAGGAAGTTTAAATGAGGTTATAAACACTCGTGTATTGACATCACAACAGCCAATGGGAGAATTCACAACAACTGCAAATGTTACTTGCAAAATTCAAATGAATGGAATTCCAATTCAGGATAATTTTATATGGAAAATTTGTTGGACAATTATTAGTTAAGGTTAATAACAATAACAATAATAATAATAATAATAATAATAATAATAATAATAATAATACCGATTTTCAGCGAAGTTATATGTAGAAATAACAGAAAACTTTTTTTATAAATTATTTTCTAATCCGGAAAGTAGAGAAAAAAAATGTGAAGAGAATTCAGATTTGTTTATTATTATAGATAATTTAATTCGATCTCGCTGCCACAAAATAATATATTAATTAGTGATCTCTGATTTTCTTTGGCTAATGATTTTGAAAATAACCGTAATTTCCACCTCGAATGATAAAACAGAGACTTACCTTGACACATCGTATTATTATAAAATTTTCTGGCAAAATTGGAATGCGCTTCTTTGTTGATAAAATTCGACAACAATTAGATAAAATACTCTGCGCATAAATACAATAATCAAAGCAAACAATAATCTGGATAATGAAGAATATTGATGTGTATCCTTTGAAAATAATCAGAAAGCACTAATTAAATTTAGTGAAGGAACCTTAACCTTAACTATTAAACAGAAACATTTCTGTACCATTTCCAACACCTAGAGAAGCAGAAATTGCCTACAAAGTGCTGAGTGTTGACAGTGAGCCCAGAAGGAGTGGAATTCAAAAGATTTTAGTCGTCGATGGAAATATTCTGAATGTGTAAGTCGTTAGAAGGAACTCATTCTTGTATTTTTTCATCAACCAATAATTTGATAAACTTTTGATTAAGGTCGCACGTTGTGCTCCTAAGTAATGATCATAATCCATTAAGAGCTTTCAATAGAGCTTAAGATGATTCACTTAGCAATTATTAGAATAATAAAACTTGAGTTTTCGTTGATTAATGTGATTGAAGCGGAAAATTATTGTATAAGGCGTTTAAATAACTGAATCCCGATGATTCATGAAAGTAACCCCCACTTTTAGCAATAGGAATTCACATTTTCCTTACATCAAAAGTTCTGATGAATTCTCTGTACAAAATGCAAACAGAAAATTGCAGAATTAATTTTTTTCTTATGTTTCTTTCTCCTTTCACCAAGTGGTTATGATGATAAAACAAAATCATCTAGGGTCGATAATCAAATTGACCTGAAGAAATCTATGATTTTCAAGTTTTATTATTATTCAATATTTCAGGAAGTTGTATCATCCTGGAAGAATTTTCTTACGCTTTCAGTACACTTACAATAATTAATAAAACTTTACCAAAAATTTAGAAAAATAGATGAATGATTGAGAATTTCTGAGTTATTGAATAATGATAAAGTTTTTAACGTCAATCTGATTCAGAGTTTCCCGAAAAATTACAAGAAACATGAAAAATGAGAAATCGATGAGAATTTAACTCTGTTATCCAAAAAGTGAATTATCTAATTTCAGCTTCATGTGAAGTGAGATATTTCCTAGGACCGGTAATATGGCCTTGTGGAATAGGATAAATTTAAATAGAATGAATGAATTATTTCAGAAAATTCAGTGGAGAAGAGGCACGAAAAGTTCGAGTGGGTCTCACGTCCTTCTTCGACAGTTTGACATTGGTAACTCAAACGATGTCTGAATTTGGACCCCCAGAGCCTGTTTATAGTCATTACAATTGATGAATAATCACTAAAAATTGGTAAAATCATAGATAACATCGCGAAGTTCATCGAATGCCAAAAATGTCTGAGCACACACCAGCTCCATACAGACCTCGTTCTGTCTACGGATATGCATTATATATCGGCTCTAATATGTTATTCTTCCTGTATTTGGTTTGGGCAGTGGTTCCAGAAAATTTCTTCGACGAAAAACTCGGCCTCACTTACTGGCCAGTTAAATATTGGGCAGTAGCTATTCCCATTTGGGCATTGACTGCAATCGCTATTTTCGCCTTTATTATCTATCCGGGGATCAATATGCTGATGACACCGGATATTGATGACATTAGAACTATAAAGGATCAGTATTCCCTCGTTCAGAGTGAACACATACCTGGAGGCATCCCACCAGTTTCTGACTTACCCATCACTGATGTTTGCAGACGATTATATTTGAAAGAGAGAGTTAATAAACAGCATTGATACAAAATAATCGTTTTCGTGGAGGAATTCAAATATTTTTATAAAGGAAAATCTCAATTTGTGGTGGCCGCTCTAAATAACAGGGTAAAAATATTACATCACAATATCTCAGTTTTTAATATTATCATGGAAAATATCACGATGAAAGATATTATTGGCAATAATGTCAGAAAATCAAAATATCACAGTGGGAAATGTTATTGATAAAAATGGCATGTACTCGAAACATCCTAATGATCGTAAGTACAATTCTCATTTTCGTCATCCTGTCGCGATATTCCAATCGTTTATTTTCTCTTGGATTTGTTTTGCGGAATTATTGATTGTTCAGTATTTTATTTACTGGGCTTACTTAGATATTGATTTTCATACCCTGTGCATCTGATATACTGATTTTGGGCCATTATTAGTTTATGATATTTTAGATCGTATAAGTTTTGAACTGTGGTATTTTTATTGTGATGTTTTTCAATTCAACATCACTATTGTCTGTCATTTAGAGCGGTAACTCAATTTGTTTAAAATTATTTCATTCCCCTGAATCCTAGGGTATTAAAGTTCGGAGTTTTCCCCACGCGCTAAATTCAGTCTGAAATTTTTTGTTTATGGACATTATTTAGGTGTTAAATATTTATGGCGTTGTTACTATGGAGTCTTTCTGCATACCTTCACCGGGCAGAAAATCCTGTTAGCAGTTTTTTTTGTACGAATCAACCCCAATCCACAATGTAAAAAAAAAAACACAAAATGCACTATGAGTGCAGCGAAATTATACAGCACTTATACGGGCAATTGATAAATAAATATAATTGCAAATAAATGATCGACGATCAATTTCGTCCCGCGTTTTTGTTTCATTCCACTCGTAATATAAACGTTCTACTTAAGTCTTGATGTTTTTAGTAAAGTCTATCAAGTTCATTTAACAACTACGAACTTGTATCGAGCAATAAATGATTATTTATTATGAAATCGTGAGAAGTCTTTTTTTTCAGTCCAAAAAGGGGTTCAATATGATATCACTTGTTATCAAAATGTCTTCAGCATATAATGATGAAATTATTTCAATTCATGTTCCTCGAGAAAACTGTGATAAAATTATTTTTACGTCAGTAAAAATCATGTATGCGAACAGTGAATTTAAAATTATCTTGATTCATTCTTTATATTGTAAATGAATTTTTATACTCCGCTGACTAAAATAATCCATTAATTAAAAAAATTCTTCCTTCTTTCTTTAAAGTGTTAATTTGAGATTAACATTTTATGTATTAAATTTTTTATAAAAAACATATCTTGAACATTTTGAAATCGAGAAGATTTTACTAAGGATCTCATTGAATTTGGTGATGATTTGATTTATAATTAATTATGTAACCAATGAATGAATTATTGAAATAATGATTAGATGAAAAAAATCAATTACAATCACTTTATGCATTTATAATATATATATACATAACACAACAGTCATACTGGTAATTCACGAATAAGTTGCTCGTTTTTTAATATTATTTTTTGACAAATAATTCTAAATTATACAAATATTTAGTCTCCAGAGTGTAGTACATGGTTAACCAATATTTTTCAATATTTTTTCATTAATTATTCAATTTATTTTTCTGTTTTATCATCTAGATTCAGACATGTTACAGACTGCGTACGCGAAAAAAAAATTACTCGAGATTTTTGTATGCGTCAGTAGTTTTTCAGTAATTGTTTATATTATTATATATATAACTATCTGGTACTACCTAAGCTCGTAAATGTGATGTCTCATCTAGAATTTCGTGAACTCATGATTGAAAAGAATAATATAATTGTTGAAAAATAGGCGAATACGAAAGGCAAGTATTTATTTTATTGTTAGAGAATTTCGAAGCGGAATTAGAAGGGGTATAGTTCTTGATGGAAGAGCTATCGATTTGTCATTGAATTTCGAGAAAACGAGCCATCGCAACGATTTGGACACAAGTTTAACCCTTAAAAATCAATGAATAAATCAAAATCACCTCCTAATTTCTTCAAAACCATGAGAATTTCTGAACTTTATTTTATCTTCCCGTATTGGTTTAGTTCTATGAAATCATTAGCACAAAATTCGATAGTTGTACAATTATTCTCTCGTCAATATATTCAAGAGGAAAAGATTTAAGGGTAAATCTCTCAGGAAAATTACCTTAAACCACTCATCACCCAGATAATTATACGCTTACCACAAAAGAATTGTTCAGTAAAAATTTGTAATTATAAATTGTTTAATCATCTGAATAATCGATAATTTTTTACGAATTTTCAAAAAATTTGGAACATTATAAAATATCATGGACAACAAAAAATATCTTTAGACTTAATTCAATGAACGTAAAAATTTCAAAGTTACAGACGAAATAATTTAAAGTTCCTTATGTAGTTAAAAGTTACACTAGTAGATTATTTCACAAACGTTTATGAAATTAAATCGTACAGAAATACATATTCAACGATCATTTTAGGAAATGATAGACATTTTTTAGAAAAAATCTCTTGACATTCTCCCTGAAACCGATTATTTCCAGCGATGTTGGAAAAATAATTCGTATGACTGATTAAAAAAAAAAATTACCTAATCTTCTAAGTTCATTTAGGCACATAATCAACAGAAAAGTGAAAAAGAAAAAAAATCATTTGTTCACTTACAGACTAGGTGCCATCGGCGATTGTGCCGTTTTTGAATATGAGCTTCATCACTTAAGCAATTCTTCTCCTTCATTAAAAAATTGATTTCAGTATTTAGCATCCTTCGATCACGATTTTAAGCGAGAAGAAAATGAATTTTTTTTTATACCACATATTAATCTTTCCCCTACGCTATTTGATGCACTATAAAACTAAATGAATCACAAACATCCCCGAATGTGTGCCCCATTGTTCCCGAGCTTTTTCATTACGCCCATGGTATATGTTTTTTCATCAATTTTTATTATATATTGATTTGTGATGAGAAGTCCTGATGGAAATTAACGAACACCACCTTTTGAGTGAGCTATAAGCCACTGAAGGGTGATATCAATGTTGTCCTTTTCTTTGCATGAAATACTGTAACAGCAGATTTCACGATCCTGGATTGCAGAGAGATTCCTGGAATAATTATGACATCAATTTTCATATCCAACTTGAAGAGTCTTATCAAATTATTATAAATATTTTAATCACTGCAGATATTTTTAATTTTTTCTTCCAAAAGGTGCAGATTGTTAAAGATTTTTCCACAGAAATGCAATAATTTTTTTGTCTAATACTAGAGCATAAAAAT